TTTTCATTTCAAAATATAATAATATAAATAAAAAATATTAAATTATATCATGTTTATTTGTTGATAATAATAAAATATTTACATTAAATATAAATAAAATAAATTATTTTACTAAAATAAATAAATAATAATTAATGCTAAGCATCGATGCAGAATTTTGACTAATTTATTTTAGCCAATTTTTAGGCTTAGCCCATTTTTAGGCTTAGCCAATTTTTAGGCTTAGCCGATTTTTAGGCTTAGCCTAATTAGGTTTAGCCGATTTTTAGGCTTAGCCTAATTAGGTTTAGCCGATTTTTAGGCTTAGCCTAATTAGGTTTAGCTGATTTTTAGGCTATACCTAATTAGACTTAGCCGATTTTTCCACCTAAAATCTCGGCTAAGCCGTTTTTAGTCGGCTAAAATTAGCCGATTACGCAACACTAGCTAATATTTATATTCGGTTATTACTTCCAATTAGCTCCCTACCATATCTTGCAAATAAAGCATATATAAATACTGAATTTTATTTCTAATCTCATCCGAGATGCACACAAACGGATTAGAGGATATTGAGCAATAGTTTATGGTTCAATAAGCGTTCTCTAATTTGAGTTAAAAAATGTATCCATAAGTGGTATAAAAATCGTAATTTTATAATACTCTTCAACTGATTGTGTGGAAATAATATTCCTATGTACTCAATTCTTGGCATGCTTATTATCATATTATATAAATGCACCTTTTTTGAACTGTTAAGAAGAATCTTGCTAAATTCACAATCAGCATTTTTTTTCTTATATGTAAAATAGCATCATATGCTTCTTCTCCTAAGAATAATGCTTGAACCATTCTTGGTTCACCCTTTGCAAGGCTCTGCATAATAATATTGTGTGACAGAAGAGTGTTAATGCAATGTACAATCAATAAAAACTCAGGATCTTGAATTGCTTTCAATATTCCATTAGCTTCTGCCAACACTGACATATCGGTCCAATCATGTATTTCCTCTAATGCAACAATTATTGGGTCTATTAATTCAAAAAAAACTGCAACTGATTCATGTCATCGGATTTCGTGTCGGGTACATTTTGACAAGTTTATTTTAATCTTTATTTTTAATTTAATAAAAAATTAATTAAAATAATATTTAAAAAAAGTTTACTGAATATTTTCTTAAAAAAAGATTATATAATAAAATACATATGATTAATTGCTTTTTAGCAATGCATTATTAAGTCTAAAAATAAAGATAGAATTGTTTCCTTAAAGTCTAGCTCGACTCGTTGATATAGTTTTGTTGAATAATCTGTTAAAATATATATTGTTCAAATTAAATAATTATGAAACAATTGATTAGCTTCGACAATATATCGATGAAGATATAAAAAAATATAAAAAGTTACTTATATGGATACGTTATCCAACATTACTTCTTAATGTTAAAGAGGTTTTTTATTTTATGAATTTTTGATTAGGTAGATAATAAAACAGGTTTAAGAGTAATTAATTTGTCAAATTTAATGTTCCTATTAATAGATTTTAAATATCGGAGGGGATTCCAGATCCATATATAATGATATAGAAAATGAATATTCGCGGGTTGAATAAAATCGTTTCAAATAAATGCATCCCACAGAAAACGAAGGAATGAAGGATTTATGGAAATCTTTTAATTCATATTTATATATTTTTTAATTTGTATATATATCGGTGGTATTAAATTTTGACATTATTTTTAAAGTATAACATAAATAAATTATTTATTTATATTCGTTAATAAAAAAAATTGCCCCCCCCCCCATCACCGTTACACTTTTATACAACACACCACTGATGCAAGCTCTTTTTAGGGTCTGGATTTGATGATGTCCATTGTGCAGTATTTTGGGAGGTTTCCTATCGAGATTTACATTGGAAAGCGTAGCGCCTGTTTTCCTCAACCTGTATTACATAGGGAGCATGTATAGGAAAATACTATATTATAATCAGGGCCGTGCAGACAAAAGACAAGTGGGAGCAGCCCCGGCCGCCAAATTTTGCAATTTTACTCAATTATTTTTATCCTCTTGAAAATAAGAATTTTATTTGTATATACTTTTTTTTGTAAAAAAATCCATGTATAAATTAGGTTTGGCATGCCTAACCATATATGTTTATAACAAAAAATTTGATTTATATTTTTAGTAAAGAAAATAACTTCATTTATCTTTTGGTAAAGAAATTTATCGAAATTTGATATAATAATATCGACCACATTCTTCAAATTAAGGATAGTGAAGTTCATCATTACCTTGGATATCGATTTCAAAATGAAATTGTTAACTTGATAGGAGATAAACGCTTAAAAAATTTTTGATGCTTTTAAAAACGCAATATATTTTTCCGTAATATTAAACTGAACATCAAACATACGCCAAAACGTAGAACTAACAACTCCGATAAAATGAATGAGGGATAAATCGATTCCAGTACTGGCAAGTAATGTTGGCTAAAATAATATTATGTAAGCCTCGAGATTTGGGTAATAAGGGTAGAAATCTGTCTGCCATCTATGAGCAAATTTTTTATGTTTACATAATATTATTTCGGCTAAAATCTTAAGCTGTTTTTAAAAATCGACCCAAATCAGTCTATTTAACAACACTACTGTACTGGCCAAGTCATGGTAGAAGCATTTTATCATTATCTAAAAATTTGGAATTAGATATAAAAAATTGTCATAGACAAGGTAACGATAACGGAACAAATATAAAAGTAGGTTATAAAGGGGTTAAATCCCAAATATTGTAAATAAATCGGAAAGTGTTTTTATGCCTTGTGATTGCCACAGATTAAATCTGCTGCTTGATGACATGACACGATCATCAATAGTGGTAAAGTAATTTTTTGGCGATGTCCAATGAATATATATTTTCTTTTCTCTTTCAACTCGGCAAATTATGAAGGATCATATAAATAATTATATCTTAACCCCGTTAGGCCATTCAAAATCAGGTTGGTGATATTTACGTTGCAACAAATAGACTATCTTAAAAAACTAATTTCTCCATATACTGCACAGAAGCCATTTTGGCTAGAGTATTAAAACAATTTCCATTTTTGGTAACTCTTGTCATCTGGTTTGACATATTAACCCAGGTGAATTAGTAAGTAAAGTCATGCAAAATAGCAATATTGAATTGGGAAGAACAATTACACTTATAGAAAGTATGCAAGATATTTTAGATCTCTTTAAGGAACGGCTTTCATAATTTTTTAATTTAGCGAAAGAGCTTGTGCAGGAATAGGAAATGAGTTTAGAAGAGTAGTTCCTTCAATAACTTTCATTCGTAAATGTAAAGTTCAAAAACAATTTTCTTAAGGAGACGACACGCCTATGCATGAACCTCAAAAAGAATATGAGATTGAATTTTTCAATGCATTACTAGATCAAGCAAAATTCGTTGGAAGAACGTTTCCAGCAGTTAAAACTCTTTGAAGATCTGTATCTTATTTAATATGTGAGGATTGATAAATGCGCCTATAAGATAGCTAAAGAAAAATGTTGTCAATTAAATATTTTATTCACAAATTAGGATACTTTAGAAAAATTTATCCGCAAGATCTACTAATTGAATTAAAAATTTTAGTGAATATATTAAGCAAGAATCCCATAAAAACTCCATTGAAAACTTTACGCTATATAAACACAAGGCTAAATGAAGCCTTATCAAATATATCCAATGTATTAAGGTACTTTAACCATTCCAACTACCGTGGCATCCGCAGAACGCAACTTCTCAATCAAATTAATTAAAACTTACCTACGATCCTCTATGGCACAGAACCTACTTGTTAATTCTTCTTTTTTCAATAGAAAATAATATCGACTCATCGTTATATTATTATCCTCTTTTGCATATAAAAAGCGAGAACAAATTAAATTACAATATTTTAGTTTATGTTTATATTCATTTTTAAAGTGCGTTACTCATTTATGAATTTAATAGAATATATATGCTTTTCTCATTACGAAAAATTATCAAAAAAGCTTAGGTAAATTGTGTTTTTTTAAGGGACCGCAAATTTGCCCTGGACCGCCAAAATTGTCGGCATGGCACTGGTTATAATCTGTACAACCAGATGGATATTATCAATTACCGATAAATGACCGGGATGTTAGAAACCATTCGCTGTGTTACTATTCATGTTAACTAATTTAAAATTGGTAATATCCTAAGGTTGTGATAAAAGAAGGAATTCGAGGGAAGGTTCAACCAGTGGAAAATCTCAATTCTTTTGACCCCTTTAGGATGAACGTGATGAGAGCGATAATTTATTTAAATTCCAGATTAATTAATTATTAATATAAACATTTTCGAATCAAATAAAGCAAAATTGCCTTTAAAAATTGAACAAGTTATTTTTTCTAATTTGCCTTTTTTTTTTAAGTTGCTCGTTAATTTATATTTTAATATCACTATATTTTAACTAATATTTTTGAAAGTTTGTGAATTTAATTTTTCGATGTTCTGGACACAACCTTAATTGAATAAAAAAAACATGATTTCAAAATTTAGTTAACCCAAAATTGGTTACTAATTTTAGCAAGGTATCTTGGACATTTTTAATAACATTTATTAACAAATACGGCGAGAAAATTCTTAGCTAATTTCGTTAAGCGAAGATGGAGTATAATAAAAACACTTTTTTGGAGAGATTTAAAAAGTAAGCCATATTGTTAAATTTTAAATAATCTAAAACACTCTGGCGGAGAAAGTTTAATTAAAGAAAAATATCAAAATATATTCTATTTTATTTTTTTTCATATAATTTCTAATAATTTGATTTAAAAATGAAGCTCTCAAAATTAATTTTTTCTTATTTTAAAAAAAATTATAGTCCCAATTTATTTATATAAAAAATCATATCATGGTTGCAACTCCTTCAAGTGCCAAATTATGAAATTATTAACAGTAAGATATGATTAATTGAAATAAGAATAAAAATAAGGTAAATAATGATTGACACAAATTTTGATGAATAAAACCACAATTTAAAATTTATTGACAAATATAATCATTATTTAATTAATATACAAGTATATAAATGGAATTTGAAAGACGTATTGAAAGAAAAGAGACAAAAATATCATATATGTTTTAGCCATAAAAAGAAATCTTTTAAATGTTTTGGAAAAAATATAAAATATTTCGTTTTTATTTCTATCGCTTCCGCCTAAAAAAAGAACAACGTGAATATAAATAAAAGTTATTGATAATTGAGTTCAAATAAATTAGATAAAATTAATTTATACCATGTAAATTTGGCTCTGGCACCTTTTTGACCAGGTTTCTTTCTCTCTTTTGTCCTCGGATCGTAGGAGAGCAAACCAGCTTTTATATAATTTTAACAAAAAAATTAATCAAAATATTGATTCCTAAATGCACCCGCTCTAGATGAACCAAAAAAAATTTTTCTCGATATACTAATAGTGAGTAACGAAAGTGAGCCTAATATCAGTGCATCTATGATTATTTTAACATTATTTACGTTTAGATAAATTATTACATTTAGATTGTACTTTGAATGAATTTTTAAGATACTTTAAAAAAATAAAACAAAGAATATAAATTCGTTCATATTCAGACCTAGACCTATCAAAAACGAGTACGAATCGACTGGAGAAAATGTTGAAAAATGTTATAATGAAGCGTTTAACATTCATTCAATGTACATTTTCCAATTATCCTTCCTGAAACAATTTGAAGAAAAAAAACATATCTTATAACAAAATTTTTAAATATCCGGGTAGAGTTAGAAAAAGAAGAATCTAATACCGGCTAGGTTTAGGATTGAAAGATTTTATTTTATATCCGGGCCGAAGATTATTGGAGTGCTTATTAAACTTTTTTTTAAAATGAGATAGCTTATGATCGAAAATATTAAGTAGTGATATATTTTATTGCTTAAATCTATATATAATAAATATATATTATTATTAATAAATAACAAATTTAAACCAAAAAATATTTTGTTGGAAAAAATCGATAACAATGATCCATCAGGATCTCACATCAGGTCTTTTAAATAAAAAGCATAACCCGGCCGCGGGATATTATATATAGAGTATTTAAACTTTCATTTGTTTTACCTAATCTCATTTTTTCTATCTGATTAGGATTGAGAAAGGAAGTGATGGCTCGTGCTATGGCAAGTCGGCATGCCCCGGCTTTGCAAGACCAATCTTTAACTTTTTTAGCATCTTCTTGGATTCTGAGATCTATCTTAAAAGTGTCAAGGTAAGAAGAATGTCCCCAAAATGTGAGCGGTAAAAGTAAATGTCCCCTAATAAATAGACAGTAATGTATGTTATAGCAAAGTAATGCCTGATAATATTTCAGAAAATTACGTTTTAACATCAACACAAATATATAGGCTTTCAAAAAGAAATCTTAAAAATTGTTTAATCATCTTTTTAAATGAATGTATAATAAAATGATTTAATTAAGGCATGGAAGTGATTATTTATTTTAAAAAATATATGTCTTTTTTAAAGGGATCAGTCAGGATCATCACGGGATTTAAAGGGACTTCTTTAAGAATTCAATTTTATAAAGGATGAAGAACTTTTAAGAGGAAATTTATTTTAAAACGCGTTTTACGCTAGTTTCGTTTCGTTTTATTTATTTCTAATTTTAATTGTTATTTATTTATAAGTTTTTTTACATTAGGAAATTATTCCCAGATTAGTTTTAACCCATAGTTTCTTATCCCACTTGTTCAAAAATTCCATATCTACTATTTAACCAAGATAAAATTAATGAACCTGAAGTAATAGTGATCGCTCACAAAATAAAAAGTGGGAATTCCTATGAATCATTTTACAATATTAAATATATTTTTTCTGAGAATGGTATATAAAATAGGCAGGATAAAAATACCATAAACGTAATAGGCAATAGCATAGAAAATTTTCATCTTCGCCTTCGTTTATTGCCTAAATGAAAAGATGATGAGTCATGAGAAAATCTGGGGTGGAAGAATGATTTGTTATGGCAATGTATGTGGGAGCACAAACTGAGCGTAAGCGGATGATGGAGATATTGAAAGCCTTAAAGTAAAGGTAGGACTTCATCAGGGATATTATTATTTATCTTAGTAATGGATGCGGTGGCTAGAGAGATAGTGAATGAATTTCATGGGAGCGATTAGATGCGGATGATTTTGTATTAATGGCAAACAGCTAAGAAGAATAAAATTACTAGATGTAAGATAACTATGGAAGCAAGGGGTTTAAAATTGGGGTAATCTGAAGATGTAGATATCCGGCAACTGCTCTTGTGGTGTATGTGGGAAAAGAGTTACTGAAAATTCAATAGGGGAGACCAGGGCTAGTCGGCGCAAGGGGCTTGTCGGTTTAAAGGATTTTATTTTAAAACCAGTAAAGATTAAAAATTGAAATTTAGTTTTAATATAGATTTCTATAATATCCATATTTGGGGATGAAAATAATTTTTAATATAAAGCTATTTAAATTTTTATCTGTTATATGTTTTTGACGTAAAAATTACAATATTTTCACTTAATATTATTAGATGTATTAAAAAATTAAAAGTTTAAACATGACAAAATGGACATTATATGAAAGTTAAATATCTATTTTAATATTTGGAAAGGTTTCAGATTGATATATAATGCATAAATATATGTTAAGATCAAATATTACCACCATTGAGGTTAGTCGAATCGTGGCTAGTCGGCGCAATCAGTCAATTTTATTATATTAAGGTACCCAAATATATATGCAAAATTCAAAATAAAATAGGAAAATTTTTACTAAAAAGGATTATGAAGAAGCTATAAAACTGTATGAAAATGATATCTCATTAAGAAAAATACCATTTATTACAGGTTAAAATATAATATTTTATAAATGTAATATATAAAATAATAATTATTATATAAATTTATTAATGTGATTTTTCATAATACATTTCAATTTTAATATAATATCAGACCTAAATAAATATCTTGCAAACTAAAATCTTCATATATATATTGTGAAAATATAATATATTTGTCACAGTTATATATTGCATATATAAATTTTAGCCTGATAAAAAGATCAATTAAAATGAATTATATCTAGCAAACAAATATATATTATATATCTATTTTAATTGACAATATAATATGATTCAAATTAATACATTTTATTAGATATGAACATTTTTAGCATATAAATTTTAGCCTGATAATAATATCAATTTATTTAAAATGAATTATATCTAGCAAACAAATATTTTTATATATATCTATATTAATTGACAATATTATATGATTCAAATTAATTCATTTTATTGGACATAAACATTTTAGTTATCATATTATATTTTAGCCTGATAATAAAATCAAATGATGTTATATATTTATATAGAATTAGATAAATTTTGAGTAAAATATTATTAATAAAAAATAAACATTAATAAAATATTAATAAAAGATGTGTGTATTATATGTAAACAGGATTATAAAAGTTTTTATAATTTTGAAGATTGGTTTCAATGTAGAGTGGTTCTCTGCTAAAAAAAAGATCGTTATTTTATTTGTTATAATTGTAAATAGAATATTATATGAAGTATCATAGTTATATATTAAAATTTGAAAAAATTTTTTTTGTCCCATCTAATAAACCACTTGATTCGACTAGCCCCATTGATGATCCGACTAACCATGGGTTCGGGGCTACTAAGTTCAAAAAATGACTTACTAAAACCTTTTTAGAGAAATAATTATTAAATATTTAAAAAATATAACAGTATATATTTATAGGTAGATGTTTAAGGTATCTATTGGTAATTTGTAAGATCTTAAATGATCATTATTTTCGAAGCTATGATGATTTTGACGAAAATTGCGCCGACTAGCCCTGGTCTCCCCTACAATGTACCAGATGCCAGGGCATAAGACGTAGTGGGAAAAAAGAGAAGTCTATGTTAGCAAGGAAAATACATAAAAGGGGTACATAATAATGATAATGTAGCAATGGGTTAACCCTGGGAAAATTGGAAAAGTTTTGCTGTTTGGGTAATATGCTAAACGCAGATGGTAGTGTATATTCTACTGCTGTTGCAAAGGTAAGACAAGCATGGAAGAAGTTCAGAGAGATGTCACCTATTCTAACAAATAAAAACGTCTCACTGAAATTCAAGGGGAAGGTTTACGTAAGCTGTGTGAAGAGTTGTTTAGTCTATAGAGGTGAAACATGGGCAATGAAAGTGGCTCACGAAGCCAATTGGAAAAAAAGGATATGAGAATAAGACTGGCAAGGAATTGCGAGCAAGGATAAGAATAGAAGTGATTGGGTTATTAAAGAAACTAGACTAAGATGGTTTGGGCATGTGGAACGTAAGATAAAAGATGCTTAAATAAAGAGGCACCTTGATGGAAGTAGGAGGATAAAGTACTTAAGGAAGATCTAAGATAACGTAGATAATGATGATATCGGCGGATATAAGGAAAATGAATCTTCGAAATATTGATGCCCAGGATCGTCAAAAATGGAGAAGAAAAATCGGGGGGGGGGGCTGAAATCAATAAAATTTATTTAACCATTCCTGATAAAACCATAAAAACATCTCTATAATAACGGCACAAGAAGTGCTCCTTCCCATAGTAATGGTCAATCAATTTGCAATTGCCAAAAAAGTTGAAACGATGCCAATGTTAAAAATAGTAATAAATGTTCGACTAAATGCAATTTAAATATCATTTGTGTAAATATTAAATAATTTTTCAAAATTATATTTTAAATTACATCAAATATCAAAATAAAATATATGTATCGAATAGTGTTATTAAAAAGCCCGATTTGAGTCGATTTTAAAAAAGGTCCGATCAAGATTTTAGCCAAAATAATATTATGGCAGCCTGAATATTTTGTTCATATGTGGCAGAAAGGTTTGGACTTCTATTTGTCAAATCATGTGGCATATAATATCATTTTGGCTAAAATCTTAATCGGGTCGTTTTTAAAAATCAAACCTAATGTCGACTATGTAATCAAATTGAAAATAATGAAACAGAGATGATTTTCTAGAAAAGAAGTGTAATAACTTATAACAATAAGAAAAATTTATAATGTCATTTTAAAATTTATGAATCGATAGTTTTAAATAGCCTACAGAAATTTTGAAACTTGAAATATTATATATTTGTTAATAATTTTATCATTAGGTTATAATAAATTAAAGCATTGACCTATTATAACCTTTACTTAAAATTTTCTTTAATATTGAAATCCAAATATATTTTATTTAGCTTTTATTTAATATTCATTTTGATATTTAGCTTTAACACTAATATTTCCAACATCTTGACAAGCCCATTACCTTTTATTTATACTCATAACATAATTTATTTTTATCCCCCCCTGCAACCAAGTCCAGTCTATTAAGACCAGAGTAAAGATTTTTAAATTATTATTTGATACCTATAACAATATTTTGTGTTGATAAAAATATTCCTTACCCCCTAATACCTAGACCCTCCCACTTAGCGTGATATTTATCATTAGACTCAAAAGATATTTTAATTATCTTTTATTTGGTACCCATATTAAATTTTTATTTTTTACACCCTCCCTCCACCAACCCACCAGACCAAATCCAAACTATTAAGACTAAAAGTGAATTCTTCCAGTCAAAAGATATTTAAATTAGCTTTTATTTAATATCTATACTAATATTTTGTGTTTATAAAAATATTCCTGACCCCCAAGATCTAGATCCGTTCACTTAGAACGATAATTATCATTATAATCAATAGATATTTTAATTATAATTTGATACACATATCAAATCTTTGATTTTTTATGCCCTCTCTTTCCCCAACACCCAGACCAAATCCAAATTATTAAGAGCAAGAGTAAATTCTTTGAGTCAAAAGATATTTATATTACGTTTTATTTGATAACCCAAATTTTTATTTTTTACTCCCAAGTCCAGCTCATCAAAACCAAAAGTGAATACTTCAGTCAAAAGATATTTAAATATGCTTTTATTGGATATCTATATCAATATTTTGTGTTGATAAAAATATTCCTGACCTCCCCCCCCCCTCCCAGCCCTAGCCATCGATGGATACTCTATAATGGACATATCTACTTTCATATGGCCAAAAAAACAACTTTGAAAACAAATAATAAATTTTAAGCGAAACGTGTGTAAAACGCGTTTTAAAATAAAATCTCTCTTTAACACTGTTAAAACGTGATAATATAGTATTATCATTCCAAACCCCTAATTTTTTTTATTATCCCTTTAAAATATGTTTTGATACTGGATAGTTCGGACCATCAAAAATTATAACATATATATCACATTTTACCTCGTTGTCTAAAGCAAGGTTGGGCAAAAAATACTCAAATATTCGAATAAAGACACAGATACTTTTCATTTTTTATTTCAGATAGTTGGAAATTTTTTTAAAAAGATAGATGATACTATATCTTTTAAAGAAAAAAAAGTATATAAAGGATACAAATACTCTAAAATATTATTTCAAACAAAATGTAAAAAATAAATTATAATACAAATATTTAAGTATAAAGTAAAAACCAGGGCTGTGAACCCTCCTTCTAAAAAAGGGTTTGAGTTCTGATTCATTAAATATCTCCAAACCAGGTTTAGGTGTTTTTAGGGTTCGTGATCCAGAAAAATAAAGACCTATAATAAAAATAACAGAAGCATCAGTTTCTTAAAAAATTCATTTTACTATATTTAGCATTCACCATAAAAATTATTTATCATTATAAAATCCTATATAATTTTTAAAATATATTAATTTTTTTATTATAATAGTTTTAATATATATTTTTTAAACGTTTTGAATATTTGAAATTGAAATATAATAAATAATAATTTAGCAAAAAAAACTAAAACAATATAATTTTAAAAAATACTATTCTATTTGGGTAACAGATTAAATCATGAGGAAATTTTCATATATTATTTTTTTTTAATATATTTTTTTATTTATTATTATTTTAAATTTTAAAAAAATCTTAAGTATATTTAAGAATTTAGAAAAAAAGAGTATATTTAGGAATTTAGAAAAAAAGAGTATATTTAAGAATTTAGAAAAAAAAGATTATATTTAAGAATTTAGAAAAAAAGAGTATATTTAAGAATTTGAAAAAAAGAGTATATTTATTTGAGTATATTTAAGAATTTAGAAAAAAAGAGTATATTTAAGAATTTAGAAAAAAAGAGTATATTTATTTAAGAATTTAGAAAAAAAGAGTATATTTAAGAATTTAGAAAAAAAGAGTATATTTAAGAATTTAGAAAAACAGAGTATATTTAAGAATTTAATAAAAATAGGTATATTAAATAATTAATCAATTTATTTGAATAAACATAACATATATACAATGTTAAATTTAAAAAACTTTGATATTGTATCAAAAAATTTCCTTCAAAATCCACACGATATTTATTTATCAAAAAAAAAATCTAAAAATACGCCAATTGAAAGAAAAAGGTAACATTCAAAAATTTCTACCAAAATCCAGACAATCTAAAAAAAATAAATAAAAAATTTTAAAAAAAATAAATAAAAAAAAATAATATATGAAAATTTCCCCATGATTTAATCTGTAACCTCTATTTGTGTTTTAAAATTTTATAAGCGAATTATCAGGATATCTTCCATGAGATGTTAAAATTAAAATATCGATAGCCTAACTTTGACAGTGCATTGCAACTTGCATTAAACAAAGCTACCTTATTTTCTTCTTTTCTTTGGTCTTAATTTTAATTTAGTAATTCAACAAACAACAATAAATATTCCTAAAATATTTTTTATTATAATAGAATATACGTTATCTATTATAAAAAAACTTACAAAATATACTAGTAAAATTTAAAAATTTATATAAAATGGAATGCTCTAAAATAAAGGATTCCACGAAAAACAATTTTCCCAAAAAATGTTTTTATATTGAACATAAAATAAAAATTATGTTAAATAATTTACATGTTTTTTTATTATATTTTAATATAGTTCTATAATATCGTCACCTGAAAATTATATTATTCCATATCCATCTAATTTTTGTCAAAAATGACTTTTATAAATCAATTTTTAATACAAAAAAATCGAAGTATATAAGGTTAAATATCCTATTGAAAACAATAGAAACGAAGCTTAATTTTTAAAATTGGTCTCCTATAAAATTACCAAAGTGAAGATAGAATAATCAAATTCTCAGGCGACAGACGATGTGTTATTTTTAATATATTTTTTAAAATAAAGTTTAATATTTTTAAAAAGTTATTGAATCCTAAGCCCAAAATTTTAAAAAGGGGTTTGGATTCAGTAAATATCGAGGATTCGAAGGGTTCTAATTCAGGGTTCTGGATCACAACCCTGGTAAAAAGTATCTTATATGTAAGACACATCCGCAATACTGCCCAACTCTCTCCTTCTTTAAAGGTTTGAAATGATAATTCACGAATGCTATAAAACTAACCCTACCAATATAATAAGTTACCCCTGGTTTAATTTCGTAGAAAGGGAATTCTAGCAGAAAAAAAATAAAAGGGATTCGAATTTGGTTTATAGAAAATGTTCCTTACCTCAAATTTTAAAATATTCTATTTTAATTTTCCAGCAAAAAAATATAATGCCTAACCCTAATAAAAATTTTCTTTGTATCCTTTAATATTGGGTTTAAAAAAATTAAACTCTCTAATCCAGATACCCGAGTAAATAAAATTAGAATTTCGTCATAACTAGATTTGACAGCTGATACCTAATGCATAAACGTTTGGAATGATAGTACAAATTAAAAATAAAAAAAAGTGTTATCAAAAGGATTATTAAACCAATATGAAATGGAGGAATAGGCAAAAAACCATTACTAATTTTTCTACCTTAATATCGGTTTATCAATTGCTCTTCTTTTTTTTTAATCCTATAACTCATTTTAAACTTAATTTACCATTACCTATGAATCAAATCAGGAAAGTAAGTTATATCTTTGTCCTTGTTTATGCTGATTAAGGGTAATTGTAAATTAATCAATTCATCTTCAAGTTTATCGATTTGAGTTAATTTAGCGTGAGCCCATGTAGTTTTTCTTTTGCCATAAGCTTGACTATATAAATTTCCGTGTTCATCTTTAAGAATCTTTTATTTATAATTAAAGAAAATATATTGCAACCAATTTTGAAGATGCAGGTGTTGAGAATAAAAATCAATTCCATCTATTTCAGTTGGACATAATAATTATCCAAATTTATGACCTTACAAATAAATTACTTGGCATTTTTTACTATAAATACCTTTTGAATATTATTCAAACTTATCTTAGCAGTCTAATAAATGAATATTATTTATGTCCTTTTACTTTAAAATTAAATTATTTCATTTTATTTGATATTATATTAGTAAACTAAAAAAAATACTCAAATAATAACTAGTTTTCTTTTTAAATGCAAATTTCAAAATAACAAATTAAATATATAATTTTTATATAAAATGACAAACTGTTTTTTTCCAGATTTTTCTAGAGCCTGTTTCTAATATTTGATGGGGTTAGGCCAAAAGAAGAAAACATTATTTCTACAGAAGCTGCTATTCCAAAGATTTGATTGATGATTAGGATGATGTATTGTCACCAGTGTTGTTAAACGGCTAGATTTAAACAATTTTAAATTAAAATTTTAGCCAGAATAATATTTCGTTAAATGTCTAGAATCTTTCAATCATCTATGAGTAAAACTCCATGTTTATAATTTTTGGCTATGACTTACCATTTTTAAAAATCAAGCCGTTTTACAACACTATTAATCATCGACAAAAATTTTATTTTTTTACATTAAAATTTACAAATATTAGGATCACATAAACGACGTTACTTTTTTTGAAGAAAAGGAACGCCATTCGTTACCTTCTTTTAGAGGTAACGAGTAACGGTAACGCGTTTTTTTTGAGTAACGGTAACGCAAAACGTTACTCGTTACTTTATATTTTTTCTTAAAAAATATCAACAAAAAGAAAAACATATTTTATTGTATTATAAAATTACTTTTATTTATTTTTTAATAATTAATATAAATAATTTAATCCGAGTTTTAATTCATATCAACCACTGCCTTCATTTTTATTTTAAATTCTCGTTGTTAAATTTTCTGTCAAAATTAATATTCAATCAAAATTCAACGTAAATGTTAATAATGATATTATTATTCTTATAATTTATTTTAAGAATATTATGTCCATTACTTACTTCTTCAGATGAATTAACCCTTCCCTGGCCTCAATTTGAAAACCAATAAAGAAAATTAATGGTACTAAGTCTACACTTTGGAAATGTAAATTATATCCCAACACAAATATTTCAACCTCAATGTCCAGCAGTTCAAACTTAAAAAAGCATTTGAAGGTAAAAAGATAAATTATTATATCATTATTTTAAAATTACTTTAATAATCTATATACATAATCCTCAAAAAATGTCAATCAAATTTAGCCAATAGTTTTCTTTTAAATATTATTTGTCCAATCAAAATGATTATAGATAATTTGATCACAATGGTAATCAACGTGAAAACTAAATCATTCATTCACAAATCACTTCCAATCACTCTATTACCATATCATTACAAAAAAAATCATCCCAGGTTTTATAATTTTTAAATATGATTCTTTTATAAATCAAGATCATTTTCTATATTTATTAATAGCAATCTCATTTAGATGCCCCCTATCCAGAAATTATACAATTGTTAGATGATGAAGCTTAGGTTTTATAATTTTTAAATATGATTCTTTTATAAATCTAGATCATTTTCTATATTTATAATTAATAGCAATCTCATTTAGATGCCCCCTATCCAGAAATTATACCATTGTTAGATGATGAAGCACAGGTTTTATAATTTTTAAATATGATTCTTTTATTAATCAAGATCATTTTCTATATTTATAATTAATAGCAATCTTATTTAGATGCCCCCTATCCAGAAATTGTACCATTGTTAGATGATGAAGCCCAGGTTTTATAATTTTTAAATATGATTCATTTATAAATCAAGATCATTTTCTATATTTATAATTTATAGCAATCTCATTTAGATGCCCCCTATCCAGAAATTATACTATTGTAGATGATAAAGCCCAGGTTATATATATATTAAATATGATTATTTTAATAAATCATGATCATTTTCTATATTTATAATTAATAGCAATCCCATTTAGATGCCCCCTATCCAGAAATTATACCATTGTTAGATGATAAAGCCCAGGTTATATATATTTTAAATATGATTATTTTAATAAATCAAGATCATTTTCTATATTTATAATTAATAGCAATCTCATTTAGATGCCTCCTATCCAGAAATTATACCACTGTTAGATGATGAAGCACAGGTTTTATAATTTTTAAATATGATTCTTTTATAAATCAAAATCATTTTCTATATTTATAATTAATAACAATCTCATTTAGATGCCCCCTATCCAGAAATTATATCATTGTTAGATAATAAAGCCCAGGTTTTATAATTTTTAACTATAATTTTTTTTTAAATGTGAATGAAACGTAATATTTTAAAATTTATAAGTTTTAATAGTTTGTCTGTAGAATGTTAATTAAATTTCTCTTCAAAATATAGCAAATGGAAAATATACCCAATAGTTTTATTTTTGATAACCCAGAAGAAATATCTAGAGATTTATCAACAAATAAAGAGGTTTATAATTTAAATAATATTTAATAATGTCTTTAAAGGGTAAAGATAATCATATTGTTATCCAATTAGAGTCAATTTATACAGATGAAGTAATCAGTTTAAATTATCTATACATTTTAAATTATACAGTTGCCAAACAAAGCTAAATTAACTCCTTTATCTCAATATAAAAATGAAGATATTATTTCATTATATAAGGAAAAGAATCCTAATGATCCCTTTCATTTTTTTAAATGTAGAATGACTAAAAATATGATTGATTTTATAATTCAATTTGGCCCAGTACAACCAAGCAAGGAATTTACAACATCATCTTCAAAAACGAAACCACATTGAGCTAAGAAAAGAGAACTTCTTCACTATCGCTAAACCATCTTCCTCACCAACAAAAGTAAATTCTATTTTATAATTTCAATTTACACGTTTTATTTCAGGTTATTTACGGCAAACTACGAGCAAGGAAATTACAACATCATCTTCAAAAACGAAACCACATTGAGCAAAGAAAAGAGAACTTCTTCACCATTGCTAAACCATCTTCCTCACCAACAACAGTAAATTCTATTTTATAATTTCAATTTACACGTTTTATTTCAGGTTATTTACGGTAAATTACGAGCAAGGAAATTACAACATCATCTTCAAAAACGAAACCACATTGAGCAAAGAAAAGAGAACTTCTTCACCATCGCTAAACCATCTTCCTCACCAACTACAGTAAATTCTATTTATAATTTCAATTTACACGTTTTATTTCAGGTTATTTACGGCAAACTACGAGCAAGGAAATTACAACATCATCTTCAAAAACGAAACCACATTGAGCAAAGAAAAGAGAACTTCTTCACCATCGCTAAACCATCTTCCTCACCAACAACAGTAAATTCTATTTTATAATTTCAATTTACACGTTTTATTTCAGGTTATTTACGGTAAATTACGAGCAAGGAAATTACAACATCATCTTCAAAAACGAAACCACATTGAGCTAAGAAAAGAGAACTTCTTCACTATCGCTAAACCATCTTCCTCACCAACAACAGTAAATTCTATTTTATAATTTCAATTTACACGTTTTATTTCAGGTTATTTACGGCAAACTAAGAGCAAGGAAATTACAACATCATCTTCAAAAACGAAACCACATTGAGCAAAGAAAAGAGAACTTCTTCACCATTGCTAAACCATCTTCCTCACCAACAACAGTAAATTCTATTTTATAATTTCAATTTACACGTTTTATTTCAGGTTATTTACGGTAAATTACGAGCAAGGAAATTACAACATCATCTTCAAAAACGAAACCACATTGAGCAAAGAAAAGAGAACTTCTTCACCATCGCTAAACCATCTTCCTCACCAACTACAGTAAATTCTATTTATAATTTCAATTTACACGTTTTATTTCAGGTTATTTACGGCAAACTACGAGCAAGGAAATTACAACATCATCTTCAAAAACGAAACCACATTGAGCAAAGAAAAGAGAACTTCTTCACCATTGCTAAACCATCTTCCTCACCAACAACAGTAAATTCTATTTTATAATTTCAATTTACACGTTTTATTTCAGGTTATTTACGGTAAATTACGAGCAAGGAAATTACAACATCATCTTCAAAAACGAAACCACATTGAGCAAAGAAAAGAGAACTTCTTCACCATCGCTAAACCATCTTCCTCACCAACTACAGTAAATTCTATTTATAATTTCAATTTACACGTTTTATTTCAGGTTATTTACGGCAAACTACGAGCAAGGAAATTACAACATCATCTTCAAAAACGAAACCACATTGAGCAAAGAAAAGAGAACTTCTTCACCATCGCTAAACCATCTTCCTCACCAACAACAGTAAATTCTATTTTATAATTTCAATTTACACGTTTTATTTCAGGTTATTTACGGTAAATTACGAGCAAGGAAATTACAACATCATCTTCAAAAACGAAACCACATTGAGCTAAGAAAAGAGAACTTCTTCACTATCGCTAAACCATCTTCCTCACCAACAACAGTAAATTCTATTTTATAATTTCAATTTACACGTTTTATTTCAGGTTATTTACGGCAAACTAAGAGCAAGGAAATTACAACATCATCTTCAAAAACGAAACCACATTGAGCAAAGAAAAGAGAACTTCTTCACCATTGCTAAACCATCTTCCTCACCAACAACAGTAAATTCTATTTTATAATTTCAATTTACACGTTTTATTTCAGGTTATTTACGGTAAATTACGAGCAAGGAAATTACAACATCATCTTCAAAAACGAAACCACATTGAGCAAAGAAAAGAGAACTTCTTCACCATCGCTAAACCATCTTCCTCACCAACTACAGTAAATTCTATTTATAATTTCAATTTACACGTTTTATTTCAGGTTATTTACGGCAAACTACGAGCAAGGAAATTACAACATCA